AACCCTGTTAGTCTTGGCCTTCAGGACACCCTCCAGCAAGGAGTTCCACAGGTTGTCTGTGCATTCTTTGAAGAAAAATCCTCCCCATCTCCCCCTGGAACAATGAGCCCCGCTTTGCGGTGGGGTCTCCGTCCCTGGCTGTCGCCGCCGTGAACTCTTCTTTGTGTTAAACCTGCTGCCTAGGAATTTCATTGCATCTCCCTTAGTTCTGGTGTTAGGAGAAGGAATCCCAGAAGAAGTGAGGGTCACCAATTTCCCTTCAGGATTCAACGCCAGGGTAAAGAAAGATCGTGTCCTTAGCGGTAGGTGACAAAGGTCAGCTGAAAGGTCCTTAGCAGGCTCTGATTGGGGGCATCACCAGTTTTCGTGGTGGGTTTTCCATCACTCACAACGTTTAAATTGGGACTGGGGAGTTCTGCTCTAGGGATTGTTCTGGGGAGGGGTGATCCGGGGCTGAGACAGGACGATCACAGATTATCAAGCCAGAAGAGGCCATTCTGAGCAGCCCCATGGAATGAAACTCATCTGGGATGGAGAAGACCGAAAGTCTAATGCCGCATGCAGACCAGAGACCGGAAACTAGATTTGCTACATCCCAGAACAGGCCTGCGAAGAGAAATTTGGAGGCCCCATATATCACGTTCACTTGGGCCTCACTCTTCCCTGTTACAGACATCTTTGAATGTTCCAGAAACCATTCAGAACTGTCCCCAAATGTTTCATTCCCAAGTGGCAAAAGAAATCTGGAATCTCAGACTACTTCCTAGAGCAGGACAACTTATTCCCACCTGGCTTGAGAGGCGGGGGTCAATTCATGGCTGGAGGACATGGAAGCAAGGAACAGGGAAGTGAAAGGACAGGGAATAATCAACGAAAGTATTTTCGAGGAGGGCTGAGGATTTATAATCCATAGACTCCCCCTCCCGGGGGCGTATCGCCAAGTACAGAAACGACAGCAAACGGGTGTCATTAAGGCTGTGTCTAGACTGGCACGTTTTTTTGCAAAATTATCTGCTTTTGTGGAAAAACTTGCCAGCTGTCTACACTGGCCGCTTGAATTTCCACAAAAGCACTGACGATCTCATGTAAGATTGTCAGTGATCTTGCGGAAATACGATGCTGCTCCCGTTGGGGCAAAAGTCTTTTTCTGAAAAACTTTTGCGCAAAAGGGCCGGTGTAGACAGCTGAGATTTATTTTCTGCCAAAAAGCCCCGATCGCAAAAATGGAGATCGGGGCTTTTTTGCGGAAAAGCGCATCTAGATTGGCCATGGACGCTTTTCCGCTAAAAGTGCTTTTGCGGAATAGCATCCTGCCAATCTAGACGTGCTTTTCCGAAAATGCTTTTAATGGAAAACTTTTCCGTTAAAAGCATTTCCGGAAAATCATGCCAGTGTAGACGTAGCCTAAGTGTCGTATAGTTCATAGCGTGTCTCAAATTGGATCTATTGCTCCTCAGCTCGGGGAGAACCCTAGTGACGGGGCAGGGACTGAGTTGGGCTCCAAGAGGGCAAACAATTCTAGAGTTGTGTTGTGAGAGGGTGAGGCTGGAGAGAGTCCGGAAGTGAGAGGAGAGGAGAACTCGGAGGACACTAAACAGAGAGAAATGTGGGGGACACACAAAGAAGCAGGCGTTCTCCCGGAACAATGAGAACCCGTTTCGTCCTCACATCCGCTCGAATGATCTGTGGTTTGAGGTTGATCTATCTGCCCCGCCTCTGCTCTCATAAAAAGCAACAGCTGCTTCCCCTGTCGGGCCGCGTGGAGATGAGGTGACCCCAGCCTCAAGGACCGCAGACACGAGCTCCGGGTGAGCACGGCCCACGTAGACGCAGCAGAGACACACAACAGCGCTTTCTCCAGGGGTGACGTACGGCTGAGATGTGCAACCACAACACTGCGGTGACCTAAACGGGGATAGTTTGCATGACAAGCTACTCTGCAGTTGGGAGGAGGGGGTCTCTATGCTGGCTCCAGCATCCCACTGCAACACCAGAGGGTATTGAGTTCCAGGGGTGGAAATTAATTCTGTAGGGGTGTCACGTTACTGAATTTGAAAGGGAGCAGCCAGATCATTGCTGTGCCCACGGGATGGGTGTGTGTGTGTGTGTGTGTTTGCCCCAAAGTCAGTACAAAGGGTGCCATGTGAGGTGTCAAACGAAAGCTTCTGTTTTACTGATTCGGTATATGCTATTCATGTACTTGCATGATATCTGTACGTGGAGTTATGAATGTGGACTTAGTGCTGATACCGGCTTGGACAGCCTGTTGCAAAGAACAATTATTCAGTTTGACTATGCTAATTAACGAGGCTTCAGGGACAATGGCTCTCAAGGGGTGTGTCTAGACTACAGGGTTTTGTCAACAAAAGTGGACTTTGTCGACAAAACTATATCTGTATCTACACTACCACCGAGTTCTGTCGACATAACATTGACAGAACTCAGCTGTTTTGTTGACGGTGGTAAACCTCATTCTACAAGGAATGATGCCATTCGTCGACAGAGTTCTATTGACAGAAGGCGCTATTGCATCTATATTGTCCTTTGCGTCTACACTCTTTGTCGACAGAACTGGATGTAGTCTAGATGCTCTCTGTTGACAGTATCTGTCGACAAAGCCTCTATTGACAAAAGCCTGTAGTCTAGATGCACCCAAAGTGTCCAATACACACCTGAGGAATGCATCTGGATACCTGCAAACTAGCCAGGGCATAATGGCTGCCAGCATGTGAAACAGAGATAGGTCACTCGACCATATGACCTGCCCTGGCCAGGAGAGAGATATAAGACCACGAAGTGAACTCCATCTTGCCTTCAATTCTGCTACTGATTCCAGATGCAGCCTTGCAAGGACAGCGAGCCAGAAAGAACCGTGGACCCATCCTGACGTAGGATGTACACCAGAGACTTTTAAGCCAGCAGTTTGTAACATTTCTGCTAAGAGCCTGCGTCAAGAACTTGGTGACTGGTGCATGTAACGTGTCCTCCTTAACAACCTGACTCTCAGGCTTTTCTCTCTTTTAGTAATAAACCTTTAGATTTTAGATTCTAAAGGACTGGCCCAGCGTGATCTTGTGTGTTGGATCCAGAGTGTAAATTGACCGGGGATTTGTGGCTGGTTCTTTGGGACTGGAAAAACCCATTCGGGGTAGGTGAGATTGGGCTCTATAACCTCTCACCTGTGTGCAGGCCCGGGGCTGATTGTGGCACAGGGAGAGTTGGGGTGTCAGAGGGGTTTTGCGCGGGAGGCTTCCTGCTGGCTGGATTGGGAGCTGAAGCGCTCGGTGTGACTGGTTTGTGGCTTATTTGGGAACGGTCTCCAGTCAGGAGCTGTAAGGAGCCCTGAAGCTGTGTTGGATCCAGAGTGTAAATTGACCGGGGATTTGTGGCTGGTTCTTTGGGACTGGAAAAACCCATTCGGGGTAGGTGAGATTGGGCTCTATAACCTCTCACCTGTGTGCAGGCCCGGGGCTGATTGTGGCACAGGGAGAGTTGGGGTGTCAGAGGGGTTTTGCGCGGGAGGCTTCCTGCTGGCTGGATTGGGAGCTGAAGCGCTCGGTGTGACTGGTTTGTGGCTTATTTGGGAACGGTCTCCAGTCAGGAGCTGTAAGGAGCCCTGAAGCTGAGCAACTCGCCCTGAGTCAACGCCTTCAGCGGTGTCCAGTCTGTCACAAGGGAGCGCTCTCCTCTCATGCCCGATCCTGGCCCCGTGTCCGTCTTAAAATATGAATGCAGATTGCCTATCTCCTAGAGCTAGAAGGGACCTTGAAAAGTCATCAAGTCCAGTCCCCTGCCTTCACAGCAGGACCAGGTACCATCCTTGACAGATTTTGTTCCCCAAATCCTCTCCTTAAGGATTGAACTCATAATCCTAGTTTTAGCAAGCCAATACTCAAACCACTGAGCTACCCCTCCCCCTATTCAGAGGCCAAGGACACCAGTTTATCCCCTGGCTAGTAGCCTTTTATGGACCTAGCCTCCATGAATTTATCCAGCTTCTCTTTAAACTCTGTTCTAGTCCTAGCCTTCACAGCCTCCTCTGGCAAGGAGTTCCACAGGTTGACTACACGCTGGGTGAAGAAGTGTTTCCTGGTTACCCCATATCGCCAGGGCTCCTTTGCTGACCTCCTTTGCTGCTATTGGCCTGGACCCTGCAGAGTGATTGCAATGCATGCTGGGAGCCTTTAGGTCTGGCCGTGGTGCTCAAGGTGTGGTGCCTTTATGTTGGGGCGGGGACCTGATTGTGTCCCATAGGTGGCCCTTCCTCTGGCTGTGATCAGAGGGGAATAGGGAGCCAGAGGTTGGTGGAGCATCTCTTAAGCTCAGACTGGTCCCTCCAGCTAATTGTGTCTCCCTGCATGAGGTGAGAAACTCCCCCTGCACCTCTTCTGTGTCTGCCTCATGCACATGTGAGGTCTGCACGTCTGGCTTTTATTTCCCCTCAGTCTGCTCCTGCTCTGCTCACAGCCACCCTCTGCCCTCCTCCTGTGATCGGGTCTTGCTCGATGTATCTCTGGCTGGCCTGCCTCCTCTCAGTCAGCGACCTCCTGCTCTGTCTTTCTCTTTCACTCTCTCCGTCTGCATCTCTCCTCTTCTGTGGGCACCAACTCTTCTTCTCCATCTTCCCCCTTGCGTCCACCTTTCTCCAGCTCCATCACCCACCCGCTTACCCCCTTGCCTGAGTTTTTCTCTGTCCCCTTCATCCCTATTTGTGGGGCAGCCTGGCTCTTCACCCTCCTCTTTGCCTCTCTCAGTCCCCTCTTTCCTCTCTCGCTCCTTCATTCCTGTTTCCACCCACCAGGTTTCTCCGGCCCGGATGCCAGGGCCCCCCAGGGATCAGCAGGTCTTGAGTGTCCTTCATCGCCACCAATCTCTGCTCCTCTCAGGCTGGCCCGCCCCCGGGGCTGGTTCCTCTTTTGAACATGCAGAGTTTGGGGAAGTGTCTCACTTCACACGCCAGGGGAGACGACCTCAGATATTCATAGAGCTCGGTGGCTATTTACAGATCCCGTGGAAGGAACAGATTCACCCGGCAGCTGCATCCTGCTAAACCCGGCATGGAGCTCCGAGTCCTCCTCTGTCTACTGGGTGAGCGACCCTGCACTTCTCCTGCAGCCTCTGTCTCCTTCCCCGTGTGTGTCCCCCTCTCTTCCTCCTCCAGCTCCATGGGGCCACTTCTCCCCGGGGTCCATCTCCAGTCTCCGTTCAGCCCCGGCCTGGTGAGGCGTCCAGCACTTCCCAGCCTTTGGGGTTCAGTTTTGGGACCTTTCTCGGTTGAGGGTAAGAATGCGGAGTCTCAGGCTTCAGCTAGTAGATTCTCAATGGCCACTTGCCAGGGGCCTTGCTTGCCTATCAGTCACCTGGTCTTTTCTTTCCGTTTTCTGTCTGTCTGTCACTCACCGTGAGGGAAACAGATGATGAACTTCGACCACCCGTCCCTGTGTGGCCCTAAACTCCATTCCCTGGTCCCCAGCTCCGTCCCTCCCATGGACTCCCCAGAACGCTCACTCCCCATGTCACAGCTCACACGTACCCACACTTGGCCCCTCGGCTCCCAGGCAGAACCCCCCTCTCCAGTGTGGCAGCCCCTTCTCAGGGAGTCCATGCCAGTCCACCAGGTGTCTGGTGGGGCTGATCTAGGTGGTTTCAGCCACCTGTCTCCATTGTGAGCCCCCTCCCTCTGGACCCCCGGGGCCTCCCCTCCCAGAAGGACCCTGTTCTCTAGACCAGAGCGACTATCAGCCAGCACAAAACAGAAGGTTTTATTGAGCGCTGAACACAGCACCGGGTCTCTCAGGCTTGTAGGCCTGGTCCTTCAGCCCACACATTAGTCTCCCCTGTAGCTAGCTGAGCTCTGCCTGCTCCTCTCGGTCCCCCCCAAAACACCCCCGTCTCCCAGCAGAGCCTCCAATACCCCCAGCAACAGCCCCTCCCCGGCCATTGTCTTCTCCCCCGGTAAGAGGGCTCACCTGGCCCCTCTTCTCCTCCTCCCTCCCCGTCCAATGTTCTCCCCTCGCTGGGATCAGCTGGGCCGGTTGCTGGGGTCCCTTTCTCAGCCCGTTGTCTGTCATCTGGCCAGAATCAGCCGTGTCCTCTGAGTAGGGCTGAGGTCACTAGGGTCCCAGACCCCACAGCTCCAGTTCGGGGCTGTTCTCTGACACAATAAACACCCCATCTTTGTCACAATCAACCAGTAACTGCCAGGCACACAACACTCCTCTTTGAACCCCCCAAACTCTCAGCCGTGTCCTCTGAGTAGGGCTGAGGTCACTAGGGTCCCAGACCCCACAGCTCCAGTTCGGGGCTGTTCTCTGACACAATAAACACCCCATCTTTGTCACAATCAACCAGTAACTGCCAGGCACACAACACTCCTCTTTGAACCCCCCAAACTCCCCACTTCCTCACACCCCGTCTCTTCTCTTCATCAGCTTCTCTCCAGATCCTGCCCCAGCCGGTGTTCCCCGCAGGTAAGGAGGGACCCAGTCCCCACACAGGCCCCAGCTGTCTGTGGAGGTGGGTCCCCCTCTAGTTCATTTTCTAGCCTGGCCTTGTGGTCGAGGGTGTGTCCCTGTCTGGTTGGGTCAGAGAATGGCTCTTGGGGGTGCTGTCTCTAAATCCACCCCAGTGCAGAGGGGCTGGAGGGTCCGTAGGGTTGTGAATGGGACAAGACTGGGGACACTGGTTCCAGCATCTTGTGTGCCTGGCTTCTCACAATTGGGGTCCCCGGCACTATGTGAAGGGACCCCCCTGGCCCTGCCTCTCCGCTCAGCTCCCAGAATACTCCCTGAATTGAGGGTGATGGGTGGGGGGAGGCTTCAGTTCTCTGGGGTCCCCTGGACTCCTAGAGAGGGGCTGGATTCCTGGATAGAGCTGAACTCCTGTTAAAACCAGGCCCCTTTCAGAGACCGCTTTGCAAGCACCCCAACAATAGAGCCAGACATGAGCCTAACCCTGACCCCCCTACTCCAGATGCCGGGCAGCGCTGCCTGCAGGCCAGGGTGGGAGATGCCTTGGGTGGGGGGCGCACTGAGGAGAATCTCTCTTCCTAGCCACGGTCTCCCCACCCGCACTTGGCTCCTCTGTCCAGTCTCAGCGCCTCCCTGGGGCCATCCCAGGTGAACTGGTCCCCACAGAGGCAGATACACGGAGCGTGGCCAGATGGGACATGGTGCCCTCCAGAGCTGATCTTGACACCTGCTCTAACTCCGGGGCTGAGAGTTCAGCCAGAGCTGCCAGATACACAGAGCGTGGCCAGACGGGACATGGTGCCCTCCAGAGTTGATCTTGGCACCTGCTCTAATTCCGGGGCTGAGAGTTCAGCCAGAGCTGTGGGGCAGTCAACAGGTGTCTGGTGGGGCCGGTCTAGGGAGCCAAGAGGGCTCTGGCTTTAGCTAAGGGGCAGGAATTGGGGGGCGGCCCCTAGCTGGGGGAGCGTAACTTCTCCTGCATCTCTCTTCCCTTCCTCAGCCCCCCTGCCAGTCCCCACAGTCACTGTGGACCCCCAGTACCCTGTGTATGTCCCAGAGGAGCGTGTCACCCTCAGATGCTCGGCCCCCCAGGGGCTGGCGGTGAGCAGCTACCAGTTCTACAATCAGCAAGGGGAGCGGGTCTTCAGTGAGAGCACCGGCCCATTCGGGGGGGCCTGGCTGGTGCTGACGGCGGCACCGGGGAAAGCTGGGAAGTACAGCTGTGAGTACTGGGCCGAGAGAGATGGGAAGAACCTCTACTCTGCACGCAGCCAGCCTGTGTCGGTACCAATGATGGGTGAGTCCCCTTTCTCCTGCTCCTAGGGGATTCCCTGCCCAAGACCCTAGCCCCTCAGCTGAGTGGAGGGTCACCACCCTGCTCCCTTTCACCTTGGGGCTCCTACACTTGTCTCCACCTGCTCCTCAAAACCAACCTCCTCCTTGAACCAATGAAATCCATTTCCCAGAGGCACATGGGGAAGGGACCCCCTGATCCTCTCGTCCCTGCTCCATTGACTCTCCCTACCGGCATCTCCTGTGAGCTAGAACAGGGCTTCTAGGGAGCCAGCCTGATTCGCAAAGAGACAGGGATGGAGAACCCACTGCAAAAGGGGGCTCATTGTTCCAGCCTTCTTGGTAAAAACGTCCCACCTCCTTCCCGGTCTGTATTTATCCAGCTGCAGCCTCCGTCCACCATGTCCTGGTGGAACTTTGCCTACTACACTGAAGTGCCCGTTGGTACCAAATCTCTGTGGTCACAGGAGATGCTTCTAGGTGGGGTCCAGTCGCCCCTCAGCCTTGGAAAGTCTGAACTTGCTTCCGCTCTAGAGATTCCTTCCGTACCGGAGCTGGTGCTGAGGTGGTCTGTAGATTGCCTGAGCCTGGCTGAGCCGTCGGTGGCTGGTTTGGTTCCAGGTTGAAGGAGCTTCACAGAGGCTGAGGCCAGAGGTCACAGGGGTCCCATCTGGCCTTAGACTCAGTGAACAAGGCTCATTTTCTGGTCCCCGATCTGTCTCCTGGCTCTTCTATGAACCACCTCCAGGTACTCCCCATCCTTCTCGAATTGTGGATCTAACATGAACCACCTCCAAGTACTCCCCATCCTTCTCGAAGACCTGCAGGGGGTGTTCTAGGAGTAGGAATAGTTCCCCAAAGTCCAGGTTCCTAGCCCCCACCCCAATCACAACACCTCATTGCCTCCTGCAGGGGGGTGTTCTAGGAGTAGGAATAGTTCCCCAAAGTCCAGGTTCCTAGCCCCCACCCCAATCACAACACCTCATTGCCTTCCCAGAACTGGAGAAAGGACCCAGGAGTCCTGACCCCCAGCCACCTCTGCTCTTCCCTCCTAAAGCCACATATAGAACCCAGGAATCTTGCTTCCCAGCCTAACCCTGCTCAATGCCTTTACCATTGGCCCCGTCACCGCCTCTGCCATTTCTGCCTTCACTCAGGCACATCCTGCTTTCTCCCCTTTCATTCTTCCTCACAGATCATCCGGTAGCCCCGTCCATCTCTGCCACTGCCGACGGCCTCTGGTATGACTCTGTCACCGTCGTGTGCTCACCCCGTGGGAGCTACATATCGCCCACCTTCCAAATCTTCAAGAATGGAAAGCTGGTACAGTTGGAATACACCCCCTCCTCGCAGGGGGCCCAGTTCCAGCTCCACACGTCCGACCCCCGCACCGCTGGCTCCTACACCTGTAGCTACCAGATAGACGTCTCCGGGAGGAAGGTGGAGTCCAGACTGAGTTCTCCCCTCTCCATCCACTTGCCAGGTGATTCAGTGTATTCCACTGTTGTGGTCTTGGGCTCTTTCTCCTGGGGTCACCACCAGGGCTGTTTGGGAAACGCCAAGTGGATCTGATGTGAAATGTTGACACTAATTCCCTTTGTCATCCCCCCAAAAGTTCCAGCCACAATGTTGCTCTTTTTCTACTTAAATCTGACCCCTCCCGCCCCGTGTCAACGTTCTCAGTTCAAACGACTGGTGTCCAAAAAAACTTCAGTTACTTTGCTGGTTTTTTTTGCCAAACAAGTTCAAAGTTTGGTTTCATCGAACAACAGTTGGGTCACAATGACTCTGTGTGTGAAAAGGTTAATTTGGGTCAACAGCCATTTTCATGTAAATAGCTGGAGGAACGTTTTTCTACCAGGATTCATCTAAATCAGCAATACTCCGACAGAGGCTCAGGAGCCACAAATGGCTCTTTAATGTGTCTTCTGGCAGGATGTGATCTTAAAATACTTTGGTGAATAATTTAGTCTCAGTCTCAATTCTTAACCAGTCAGGAAGCTTCTACTATGCTATTAGCCACTGTAGTAGCTACAGCAATGATACTTGCTCAGTCATTTTGTGGTGAGACTCAATGGAACAATGAATTCAGATGACTCGGGAGATATTGGGTGCTAATTTGGTTCTTAAACCACTGAGGTCTGAGTATCACTGTTCTGAATTATGAAGGCTCCTGGTCCTGCTTCATTTTGTAATGCTATTGGTGCCTGGGCCACTTAAAAATATGCCTCTCTTGGCCTGCTACTATTGATTATTTGTATTGCCGTAGGGCAGGTAGGCATGGTAGGAGGGGGGTGAACTTAATGACAAAAGGGAACAGGAAAGGCCCGGGCTAAATGGAGAGAAATAACCAGTGTGCCTGGCGTGAGAAGAACTCCTCTCAAGTTGAACAGTAAGATTGACGAGGTAAGAAACAGGCAGGTAATTTTGTAGCTCCCAATGCTGGAGGTATGGACTAAACAGGCAGATCTTGAACGCAGTGGAAATGAAGATGTTAAGAGGGACGCTTGGAATTGGGAGGCTGGGTCGCGCTTGGAACGAGCAGATTAGGACAAGTGTGCCGGTGGTAGCAACTATGTAACAGCTGAGGGATGCATGGGTTGGGTGGTTTGGGTGGGCAAAACGAAGATCGGGAGAATATTTAGGAAAGAGGAGTAGAAGGCAGAGAAGACCCAAGCTAGATGGATGGACGCTATAGGAAAGGGTTTGGTTAGCTGTGGTGCTTCTGAGGAACACAAGACAGCCTGGAATAGAGAAGGACTGAAGCAGCTGATCCCATGAAGTTGGGACTAAGGATGGAAGAAGTTAGAGCTGGCTGGGAATTTATTAACAAGAGTTTTTTCCCCACCCAGAAATGTAGATTCAACAAAACATTTTGAAGCAAAATAATGTAAATCTACAGCTACCCATCCATCCGCCTGCCCACCTGTCTGTCCGTTCGTCCATCCATCCTCCTGCTCATGCATCCATTCATCTGCCTGACCATCCATCCATCCCTCTCTACCCACACCATCCATCCAACCAACCAACCCTCTCTACCCACTCCATCCATCCAACCAATCAACCCTCTCTGCCCACTCCATCCATCCAACCAACCCACCAACCAACCAATCAACCCTCTCTGCCCACTCCATCCATCCAACCAACCAACCAACCAACCAACCAACCATCCATCCCTCTCTACCCGCGCTATCCATCCAACCAACCAACCCTCTCTGCCCACTCCATCTATCCCTCCATTCAACCAACCCACTCTGCCCACTCCATCCATCCATCCATGTATCCCTCTCCATACACTCCCTTCTCCCTAGCTAACTCTCCCTCCACACAGTCCCCCTTCTATGGATGGCAGTATCCAAAGGGCAGGAACCAGGCAAGGCCCAGGCATGCACCTGTGACGGGGCCACACAGCCTCCCACCCACCGCAGACTCCCAATAACTGAATACAGTGGCCGGGACTGGCCAAGCCACGGAAGGTGTGGGGATAATAATTCCTGGGAGCCAAGCCAGTGATGGCAGCATTTGGCCCATGGTGGCCCTTGAAAAGCTCAGCTCCAGCACCCCATGGCAGCTGTGGGTTTTTTTTGCTGCACCGCCCCACTGAGCAGGGTTTGTATTTCACCTTGGCATTTGTTTTGTCACCAGGGCTGAGTGAACAAATCACCTGCCAGGGGCCCCTGCTCACTGCCTCAAGGCCCCCATGGGCAGCTTTGGCATCTCAGCTGGGGGCTGCAGCCAGAGGGCTGGGGGCTCTCGGGGATGTCACAGCCCGTCCGGTGTCTCTGGATCTGATCCTCTTTTCCCTGAACCATGGACGTGGCTTGTCTTTTTCAGAGCCCCCTGGAGCCCCGACCCTCTCCCTGCATCAACAGTATACTGTGTACCTCCGGGGAGAGACGGTCAGCCTCACGTGTTTGGAGCCTCCTGGCGCTCACCGGGCAGTTGGATTCCAGTTCTCCAGGGACGGCGGAAAGACGTTCTTGCCTGGAAGCAGCAACACGCTTGCTCTGCACCTCGCGGGGCTGGAGGACTCCGGCTCGTACACCTGCGCCTACTGGATACAGCCGTCCCGATGGGGGGTCCGATCCCGGGAGAGCCAGCCGGTCTCCATCTCGGTCATGGGTGAGTTGTGAGCTGGCACCGACCCTCCGGACACAGCTGGGCGTGTTCCAAAGAGACCCCACGTATGGTTCTGTTCCACTCTCCGTAACCTGGGTGGGTCACACGCTTTCTGGCAGATGACTTGCCTCCCAGGCTCACATCAGCCCTCAGTTTAGACCCTGGCTTGCTGGTTGTTGAGCGGCTCTCCTCATTGGCCAGCACAAGAAAAAGAGAGGAAACCAAAGTGTGGTCCCATCTAGGGGTAAAGGGCAGGACAAACCCATGTACCAAAGCCAGTCTCTTTTCAGTAGTGGAATGGTGGGGAGGAACCCGAGTCCACACGCTACGCTAGGTTCCAGCCTCAGGATCCCGTGATAGCACCTGCCCGTAATGTCTCTGGTGATAGCTGTGTGACAGCTATGAATCCCTGGGCTACTTCTCCACCACCTTCCTTACCACAGGTTCTTCCTCTTGGTACCTGCTTGTGCTTGGTCCTCCCAGATTCTCCACGGCTTCTCCTCCCCTCAAACATCTTGCCACACTGAGCTACCAGAAAGGGAGCCTTCTGAGCAGTCTCTGCTGGTTCTTCATTGGCCCCGGGTGTTCTGATTAGTCTGACTCACTTGGCTTATATCCATACCCCCCAACATCCTGATCCCCATCTCCTGGGTCCTCTACACCCCATCTCCCCTCTTC